TCATCGGTGCGTTTCAGAAGGTCATTTGCAGTGGCCCTCGGCCCTCCCTTCTCTCTGGTCCTATCTACCAGGCCACCTGCCTCTCTTACCCACAGGCCTGCCACAGTAGGGACCTACTGTGTCTTTGGGGGGTGGGGGATGAACAGTGGAAGAGGTGCCTGGGGTTTCATCATCCCTCAGGTATGGGCAGGGGCTGGAGCAGGTTTCCAATCTAGTCTGGCAGCTGAGACCTTTCGGGGTTGGACAGGGGCTGGGACAGGAGGCTGCAGGTGGTCAGTGTGAGTCGGGTGAGGGGTTGGGTCACTCATCCATGGATTGGAGGGACACATTTTGTGCTCCTACCATACCCCAGCACCAGCATCTGGGGACACACAGTGAATGAGGCAGAAGGTCCAGGGGGGACTCTGGAGGAGACACAGGCGGTCCAGCTACGTAGGTGGTGTCTCGGTCAAGGCCATTCCTCATCCTGTTTATCAGCGCACCTTACCCGGGCATGTCCTTCAATGACAGTTTCCGAGTCCATTGTCCCCAGGGTTTCAAGTGGTGCCACAACCGGTACATCCCCTCTATCCCCAGATGACCTGGCCTTTTATAGAGGGCATCACTGAGCCCACCACCACCTAACTGACTTGTTAGGAGAAATCCAGAATTTTCCCTGTAAGGGGATGCTGGGACTTTGGGTAGGTTCTAAGTGCTAAGCCTCAGTTTCCCTGTGTATAAAGCTTGTTAGTGGTTTGTCAAACTCTGGGGACCTGTATTTTGCTCTGATGCTGGAAGCTTGCCACCAGTATTTCGGATATCAGCAGGCTCACCTGTGGTGGCCAGAGCTTCCAGACTAAGACTAGAAAGGAACTAGCAATCTACTAAAAACTTGGCTGGTGAAAACCTTCTGTATGAACAGTGGTGGACTATTGTGTAAGGAGCTCTGGTAGTGTAGTGGTTACGAATCGGGCTGAGAGCTGCAATGTCAGCAGTTCGAAACTACCAGCTGTTCCACTGGAGAAAGATGAGGCTTTCTGCTCCCGTAAAGATTTACAGCCTTGGAAACCCTGTACAGGGTCGCTATGAGTCAGAACTGACTCCACGGCACATGGCACATTGTGTTATAGTGCTGGAAGATGAGCCCCTCATCATGATGGTGTTGTTGTTGTCAGGTGCCATCGAGTCGGAACCGACTCATAGCGACCCCATGCACAGCAGAACGAAACAATGTCCGATCCTGGGCCAACCTCACTACCGCTGCCACACTTGACGCCATCATTGATACCACCTGGCTAATCCATTTCGTTGGGGGTCTTCCTCTTTTTCTCATCAGGATAGAAGGTACTCAAAATACAACTGAAGTAGAACTCAGATGTGGTACAACTCAAGATGAGAACAACTGAAAACACTGATTAATAATCAGAATGAGATGTACAAGGTATGAATCTAGGAAAATTTGAAATCACCAAAAATCAAATGAAACATTTGAAGATAGAGATCCTAGGCATTTGGACTGGTATTGGCCATATTGAATTAGACAGTATTATGATCTGCTGTGCTAGGAATGGAGTCCTGGTGTGGCGCTGCAGGTTAGTGCACTGGTTTCAACTACAAGGTTGGTTTCAACTACAAGGTTGGCGGTTCAAGCTCACCAGCCGTTCCTTGGAAATCCTATACAGAGTTGATATGAGTTGGAACCGACTCAACAGCACTTAACAACAAAAATGCCAGGAATGACAACTTGAAGAGGAACAATGTCACATCCATTGTCAAACAAAATATGTTCCTATCCTGAAGTATAGCACTATCAGTGATAGGATAATTTTCTTACTCCTACAAGGAAGACCGGAGGCCTGGTGTGGCGCTGTGGGTTAATGTGCCAGACTGCAAAGTCATTTGAACTGCAAGGTTGGCAGTTCAAGCTCACCAGCTGCTCCTCAGAAACCCTATACAGGGTTGCTGTGGGTCAGAACTGACTCGACGGCACTTCACAACAACAAGAAGGAAGACTAGTTAATACCACTGTTATTCAAATTTACATGCCAATTATGAAAGCCAGTGCTGATGAAATTGAAGAATTCTACCAACTTCTTCAGTCTGAAATTGATCAAACATGCAATCACGATGCATTGATAATTGCTAGTGATCAGAATGTGAAAGTTGGAGACAAAGAAGGATCCATAGTGGAGAATATGACCTTGATGATAGGAAAGACACTGGGGTCTTTTTCTATAGATGTAATTGGTTTGATCGAAGTCCTGGTGTGGCGCCGCAAGTTAATGCGCTGGACTGCAATGTCAGTTTGAACCACGAGGTCAGTGGTTCAAGCTCACCAGGTGCTCCTCAGAAACCCTATCCAGGGTCGCTATGAGCTGGAACTGATTTGAGGGCACTTAACAACAACAATTGGTTTTATCAGTATTCTGTCTGGCAAGGTCCCTGCTTATTGTAGTCACTGTACTATAAAAAAGGGTATTTCCAACAAATAGTAACTCGGATGAAATGTGCAAAGTCCTGTAGTTAGAAAACCAAAAGGGAAACCATGCTAAGCATTTCTCAAACTGAAAGAACTGAAGAAAAATTCATGTCTCAAGTTTCAATACTGGAGGTTTCCATGAGCAAAATGTTGACCGATGCAGGAAGCATCAAAAGAAGATGGAAGGAACACACAGAGTCATTGTACCAAAAAAGAATCGATCAACATTCTGCCATTTCAGGAAGTAGCGTATAATCAAGAATCAAGGTATTAAAGGAAGAAATCCAAGCTGCTTTGAAGGCCTTAGGAAAAAACAAGGCTCCAGGATTTAACAGAATACCAACTGAGTTGCTTCAGCAAACAGATGCAGTGCTGGAAACCCTTACTTATGCCAAGCAATTTGGAAGACAGCTACCTGACCAGCTGACTGGAGGAGGTTCATATTTGTGCCTATTCCAAAGAAACATGATCCAACAATGCAGAAATTACCCAGTAATATCATTGATATCACACACAAGTAAAATTTCACTGAAGATAATTTAAAAATGGTTGCAGGAAACTGCCAGAAATTCAAGCTGCATTCAGAAGAGGACATGGAACTAGGGATATCATTGCTGATATCAGATGGCTTTTGACTGAGAGCAGAGAATACCAGAAAGATATTTACCTGTGCTTTATTGACTGTATGAATCATCACAACAAATTATGGGTAACATTGCAAAGAATGGAAATTCTAGAATACCTCATTGTGCTCAGGAGCTAGTACACAGACCAAGAGGCAGTCCTTCAGACAGAACAAGGTTTAAACTCAAGAAAGGTGTGTGCCAAAGTTATACCCTTTCACCATACTTATTCAATCTGTACGCTGAGTCCAGGCTGCAAGAAGCTGGATTATATGAAGCACTCGGCATCAGGATTGGAGGATGATTCATTAACAACCTGTGCTATGCAGATGGTACAACCTTGCTTGCTGAAAGTGAAGAGGACTTGAAGTACTTACTATTGAAGATCAAAGATGACAGTCCAATGTAGATTACACCTCAGCATGAAGGAAACAAAAATCCTCACAACTGGGCCAATAAGCAATATCGTGACAACTGGAAGAAATATTGAAGTTATCAAAGATTTCATTTTATTTGGATCCACAATCAAACCCCATAAAGGTGGCTGTCAAGGAATCAAAGGACACATTGCATTGGACAAATCTGCTGTAGAAGAACTTTCAACTTTTGAAAAACCAAGATGTCACTTTAAGGACTAAGGTGCACCTGACTGCAGCCATGGCCTTTTCATATGCATGAGAAAGCTGGACAATGAATAAGGAAGACTGAAGAAGAACTGATGCTTTTGAATAGATTTGGTCACAAATATTGAAGATACTCTGGACTGCCATAAAAATGTATAAATCTATCTTGGAGAAAGTACAACCAGGAATGTCCCTTAGAAGGGAGGAGTCTCATATACTTTGGACATGCTATTAGGAGGGACCAGTCCCTGAAGAAGGACATCACGCTTGGTTAAGTAGAGGGTAAGAGGAAAAAAAGGAAGACTCTCAACTAGATGGATTGACAAAGTGGATGCAACAGTGAGCTCAAACCTAGCAACGACTGTGAGGATGGCGCAGGATTAAGCACTGTTTAATTCTGTTGTTGCTGTGAGTAGGAACTGACTCGACAGCACCTAACAACAACAAAGATGGGCAAATCCTTGGACCATCCCCTCCCTACTTAGGGGTGTCATAAAGATAATGGAAGAAAATTTGTGTAAAGAACTAAACCTGACATATGGAAAGCCAAACCACTTGTCATTAAGTTACCTCATGGCAACCTCATGTGTCAGAGTAGCACTGAACTTTATAGATTTCTGAATTTTCAGAAGCTGCTCTCCAGGCCTTTGTTACGTGGTACCTCTGGGTTGACTGGAAACGCCAATCTTCCCACTAACAGCTGAGCACTACCCAGGGACTGGCATGTACCTGCTCAGTACACACTGATCTGGGTGGCAGATGGAGGTGCGTGCACAGGTGGACAAATGGTAGGCTAGGGGAGAGGGGTGTCTGGTGTGGGCCAGGGAGAGGGTCTGGCAAGTCAGGTTTCAAGGAGGTGATTCCAATGGGACTACATTACAGCAGAGGGAACAGCATGTGCAAGGCCCTGAGGCAGGTTTGAACTTGCGGATTCTGGTCACAGGGAGGCCAAAGTGGAGGGAGCGTGAAACTGGGGAGAGTGAATGGATGAGTTAGGAGGAAGTGGTCTGTAGAGGGCTTTTAGGCTACTGCAAGGAATTGGCCTTTTGCAAGGAGGGTGCTAGGGAGTCATGGAAGGGTCTTGAGCAGGAGAGGCTGACATAGGTGTTTCTAGTATGGTAAATTTCCATGCAATGAGCTCTAGGTATACTGCACAGAAGTCTCTGTGTTTGAGTCCCATGGCTCCTGAGCATTAGAAGTTTCTAGAGTTTGGGTAATGGCCTCTGTCCCTGTGGTCAGTCGGTGAGATACTAGGTGACCTCTGGCTGTAACTTTATCTTCCCTGTGCCTCTGTAGGTCAGCGCAGGAGCCCAGCTGCTGCGCCATGCTGGGCCCCGGAGAGCCTGCATCGAGCCTGACGCCTGCCCCCAGATAGTCATGAACAGCCACAGCCACAATGGCAGTGTGGGGCAGCCGCTGGGCAGTGTGCCGGCAGCCTTGGGCCGAGACCCCGTGGACCCTGAGGCCGGCTGTGCCCCCCAGGCCCTGCACAGCCCGGGTCTGCAGGTGGTTGTGGTCAAGAGCGAGTTGGCCCAGCCCTGTTCCCAGGGGCAGCCCAAGGAGGAGGAGGAAGAGGAGGACAATGAGGAGGAGGATGAGGCAGGTGGGCAGGGACATTCAGGGAAGCCTCCTAATGCAGGCCACCGCCTGGGCCACCGGCGGGCCCTATTTGAGAAGCGGAAGCGACTCAGTGACTACGCACTCATCTTTGGCATGTTTGGCATCGTTGTCATGGTGACTGAGACGGAGCTGTCCTGGGGCGTCTACACCAAGGTAGGAACCACCTTATCCCCCTTGTGTCCCAAGGATACCCCACAGGGCCTGTCTCTCTCTATCTCTTGGACTTGAGGTTGTGGGTCCAGTAGCCCAGCAAGAGGGTGGGGTGTCCTGAGCTGCCACCATGCCACCTCCTGGGGCAGAAGGGAGGGTGCGATGGAGAGGGAGATCCGAGCCATTCCCACTGCCCTACAGGAGGGGTTGTCCCCCAGGATGGGTACAGAATGGGGGTCCTGGGAAGGCAGGAGCACTTGGGCCTGGGGTTGAATCTTGGAGGACACTGGTCACCACAGTGTGTATGAGGATGGAGAGAGATAAGGGTCAAGTCAGCACAAGAAACTGTGGGTGCTGGATCTTCGTGGGCTCAGGCTTTATATACTATGAGGCCATTTGTGAAATGCCAGCCTGTGAAGAGCTGCGTAACTGCAGGCTATCTAAACTGTGAAGTGTGGTGCCCACAGAGGCTAGGTTGTATAAACTGAAGTACTGGTCCTGTAGGAGTCCAGTCCATATAAACGGCTAAGTTCACACCAGGCCAGGGCATCGAAACTGTGAAGTGCCAGGACCGCAGGAAGCCCGACCTTTTTACAGTGAAACGCCATGTCTTATCCCTTCAAACTGCGATCCACTTGTCATCCACCCAGCCCTGAGGACTTAGGACACAGAAGTGCTTCTGAGATCTTCCCATGCGCCCACTCAGGCGACATTCTTTCCACAAAGCAGGCCCCTCCTCCCCCAACTTGGCAAGGGAGAAAGCCGGGGCTCAGTGTAGGGGTCCCCCAGCAAGAAGGGGGCACTGTGACCCCAGCTTAGTTGGGTAAGTCGGTACCACTTACCCACAGCAGAGAGCCCAGGTGGGCAGAGGGCCAGCTACCGCCTCCAGCATTCATCCATCTGTCCATCTCTTCTCTCTGCCCAGGAGTCCCTGTACTCGTTTGCACTGAAATGCCTCATCAGTTTCTCCACCATCATCCTGCTGGGCCTTGTTGTCCTGTACCATGCCCGCGAGATCCAGGTCAGTACCACAAGGCAGGATCCAGTGCCCCTCAGCCCCTCCACACCCTGCTCCCAAAACACAAAATGACCAATCAGGCCTTTATAGAAAGCAAAACCATAAACATGAGAATACACTCTTTGGGTTCCTCTAAATTTCCTTAAAAAAGTGTTGGTAGAGGAATGGGTTACTCATCAGGCTGCTAACCACAAGGTCAGCAGTTCGAACAAATCCACCAGTTGCTCCAGTGGAGAAAGATGAGATTTTTCTGCTGGCATAAAGATTTACAGCCTCAGAAATCCTATACTAGGTTGTTAGGAATCAGAACCAACTCAATGACACTTAACAACAACAGCATTTTCTTCACTGGGTGGCACAAACAGCTAAGCACTCTACTATCAGCCAAAAGATTGGCAGATCGAACCTACTCAAAGAAGCTATGGAAGAAAGACCTGGTGATCTGCTTCTGGAAGATCACAGCCTTGAAACCCCTGCGGAGCACACTTCTGCTCTGCATACATGGGTTTGCTATGAGTTGACTATTTCAAAAAGAGAGCAAAGATGATCGGAGAATGCCAAGCTTGGGTTGGTTCACTTAGCTGAGTTCTTGCCACACCTGGGCCCCTTGTTGGAAAGGATGGGGGGGGGTGGGGAGCGGAGGGAGGAAGAGGGGGAGGGCAGACACACAGCAGTTGTTTTGAAAACCCCAGGGTTTTCCAAGACTTTGCAGCCGTGAAAACTGGTATTTGTAACAGCCAGGTCCATTTTTATGTTTGATTGGATCTCCAGGGAGTTTGTCCTCCTGTTTTCAGAGTTATATGGTAATGCCAGCTCTGGCAAGACATCACCTAGGGATACAGAAACCATAGAACATCAAAGCTTGCTCTTAGCCTCTAGCCTCTGGTCCCTGACTTTGAGGAACTACAGTCTGGTATGGAGACAGGATGGAAAAAGTCCACACACCGAAGGAGTCATAACCTAGTGCAGGTGTCTGCAGGGGTATCGGGGCCTGACATGCAGGAGAGAAACCAGGTTCTGGCTGGGTTAGAAGGCAAGCAGTTTCAAAGGAGACAACTAGTATCGAAAACAGCATGGTGGCTCCTCAGCTGATTAAACAAAGTTACCCGCCAATGCCACTCCTGGGTGTCTACCCAAACAAACTGAACACAAGCCCACACAGAAACTTGTACACTCATGTTCCTGTCACCACTGTGCACACTAGTCAAAAGGTAGAAACAACCGAAGTATCCATTAACAGATGAATGAATGGGGTCCATCCACACAGGGAATACGATTCAGCTGTGTGATACCATCTGAAAACCAACCCCCCACCCCCAACAATTGGCATTGAGTTAATCCCAGGTATTTCTTGGGTTCCTTGATTGCTTTTCTGTGCAGCTTCACATGCTGTCCCAGTCCCTGGGTGGCCTAAATGGTTAAGCACTCGACTACTAACCAAGAAGTTGAGGGTTCAAATCTACCTAAAGGTGTCTTGAAAGAAAGGCTGGCGATCTGCTTCTTCAAAACCCTGTGGTCCCCCACTCTGTTCTCCCTATGTATAAGACACCCCTCAGAAAGGGTTGGGACCCAGTATACATGGTGTTTGTACCCCCACTCTGATCTCCCTATTTATAAGACACCCCGTCAGAAAGGGTTAGGACCCAGTGGAGTAGGTTTGATCTTATTAAATTAATTAACTGCTAGCATCTTCAAAAACACCTTATTTCTAAACAAGGTCACATTTGCGAGTTAGGATGTCAACCTAGGAGGAGGACACAATTCAAACCATACAGTCCACGCACACACACAAAAAATGGGGGTTCAAAAATTTCTTGGAAAAAATGGAATTAAAAGATGATCTAAAAAAAATTTTTTTTTTTAAAGATGATCTGCATGTTACAGTGTGAGTGAACCTAGAAAACATGCCCAGCGAGAGAAGCCAGACACAAAAGGTTACATATTGTGCGATTCCATTTATAAGCAATTCTCAGAACAGGCAAATCTATAGACAGAACGTAGATTAGTGGTTGCCGAGGCCTTGGGGCATGCGGCAGCAGTTGAAACCCCCCAGTGGCTCTGCTCGAGAAAAGACTGATGTCTGCTTCCGTATAGATAGATTGTTGCTGTTAAGTGCCCTCGAGTCAGTTCTGACTCATAGTGGCCTGGATAGGGTTTCCAAGGCTATATTTCTACATCTTTGTAGGAGCAGAAAGCCTCTTCTTTCTCCCAGTGACTAGTGGGCTGAAACTGTCGACCTTGTGGTTTGCAGTCCAGTGTTTATGGCACAGCCTAGGAAACCCTAGGAAACACGTCTACTCTCTCATATAGGGTCGCTATGAGTCAGATTTGACCCGACAACACCTAATAACAGCAACAGACCTTGGGGAAGGGGATCATGGGTTGTTCATGGATGCAGGGTCTTCCTTTGGGATGATGAGAATGTTGTGGAACTAGATACAGATGGTGTGGTTACATACTTTGTGACTATCCTTAAAACCATTGAGTTGTAGACTTTAAATGGGTGATGGTATGGTAAGTGAATTAGATCGCCATATGCTTAGAAAAGGAGTCCTGGTGTGGCGCTGTAGGCTAAACACTGGCCTGCAAGGTTGGTTTAAACTGCCAGGCAGGTGGTTCAAACTCATCAGTCACTCCTCGGAAATCCTAAATGGTTGCTATGAGTTGGAACTGACTCAAGAGCTCTTCACAACAACAAGCTTATAAAAAAACAAAATAAAACACCAAACTTTCCTTAGGGGCTGGAAAGCCCCCACTCAGGAAAACACCTAAGGCCCTTCTTAGCCTTACTGAACATCAGGAGCCAGTCAGGGCGGGAACTGGGGGAGTGAATGAGGCATTTACTGCAGCCATAAAATATCAGGAGAGACCAAGAACTCAGCCGTCAAGATAAATACTATTTAAATGTGATATTTTCAAAAAGTGAAACAAATGCCAAAAAATCCATGCTGAGCCCAATACCAACATCTTAAATAAAGACAGCATCAAATTCTTGATTCCTCCTTTGGCCTCTGTCTCTAAGAGGACTGATAAATAGGATTTTTCCTGGTGCCTCGTCCTAGCTCCAGACACTGCTGCGGCCCCCCTGTTAAGGCCCAAGGGGAGCTCCGGCAGGCTGCCCATGTTCAGATCGCACATGCGTGGGCAGAACTTGCCTCTGTAATGAACAGCTCTCACCAGGTTTTTTCTTTTTCACTCCCCGCCACCCCTCCCCCATCCCACAGTAACCACAAATCCCTGTAGTCACGACATGTTTTAAGGAAGTGTTTTTTATCCCCATTTTTCTTATTTTAGATTTCCTTTATCATTACTCATTTTAAAATAACACATGAAAAAGAAAGAAAAATGAATAAATGTGCCTTAGTCCCTGGCTGGTACAGACAGTTAAACATTTGACTACTAGTCCATAGGTTAGCAGTTTGAAACTAACCAGAGATTCTTCAAAAGAAAGGGCCTGAAGATCTCCTGAAAGGTTGCAGCTTGGAAAACCTCTGGAGCCGTTCTGATCTACAAACATGAGGTCACCATGAGATAGGAGTCAGAGACAGTTTGTGGTGCTGTGGGTTAATGTGCAGGACTGCAAAGTCAGTTTGAACCACAGCACCACACCAGGGTGCCTTGTTGTTGTTGTTGTTGTTAAGTGCCATTGCGTCAATATCAACCCATAGCTACCCTGTACAGCGTTTCCAAGGAGCAGCTGGTAAGCTTGAACCGCCAACTTTGCAGTTCAAAGCGACTTTGTAGTCCAGCGCATTAACCCACAGCACCACACCAGGACTCCTTGTTGTTGTTGTTAAGTGCCGTCAAGTCGGTTCCGACCCATAGCAACCCTGTATAGGGTTTCCGAGGAGCAGCTGGTGAGCTAGAACCGCTGACTTCGCAATTCAAACAGCTTTGCAGTCTGGCGCATTAACCCACAGCGCCACACCAGGGCTCCTTAGGTAACACTAATCTGCCTTCTATGTCTGTACATTTGCTTATTCTAGATATTTCCTGCAAATGGCTGGCTTATTTCACTCAGCATGGTGATTTCAAGGTTCATTCAGGTTGTAGCGTGTATCAGGACCTTCTTTCTCTTTATGGCGGAATAATATTCCAGTGTGTGGAATATTCATTGATGGACATGTGGCTGTTTCCACCTTTGTACTAGTGTGAAGAGTGCTCCTATAAACATATGCCTATGAGTCTTTGTATGGGTGCACGTTTTCATTTCTGTTGGGCAAAAACCCAGGAGTGGAATTACTGGGGTCACATGGCACCTCTATGTTTAACAATTTGTAGACACCCCGCTCAGTGCTTTTAAATTTGAATTGAGGCTGAGGGTTTTTTTGAAATGTCACTCAAAATAACATGGGTGGGAGGGATTTGGACTGCTGGTGTGCTCTGGGGCAGAGGGGTTGACACCCACCTGCTGCCCCACTGGTCTCCACAGCTGTTCATGGTAGACAATGGTGCGGACGACTGGCGTATCGCGATGACGTGCGAGAGGGTGCTGCTGATCTCGCTGGAGCTGGTGGTGTGCGCTGTGCACCCGGTGCCTGGCCACTATCGCTTCACGTGGACGGCACGGCTGGCCTTCACGTATGCACCGTCGGAGGCCGAGGCGGACGTGGACGTGCTGCTGTCCATTCCCATGTTCCTGCGTCTCTACCTGCTGGGCCGTGTCATGTTGCTCCACAGCAAGATCTTCACGGATGCCTCCAGCCGCAGCATCGGTGCACTCAACAAGGTTACTTTCAACACCCGCTTCGTCATGAAGACGCTCATGACCATCTGCCCGGGCACTGTGCTGCTTGTCTTCAGCATCTCGTCCTGGGTTGTTGCCGCCTGGACCGTGCGTGTCTGCGAGAGGTGCGCCACCACCACGCACGCACCCTGGCCCTCTTGCACACCCATGACCTCAGGGTCCCAGAGCTGCCCTGGCCATTGTCCATCTCTCTGACGCAGGACCCCTGTGACCTCGGGGATACTTTGGCTTCCTGCCCCAGGGATCCAGAGACCTGTGTGCAGCCCATGACCTCAGGGTCCCTGGGCTGGAAATCTCTGGCCGTGGCTCTATCTCTTTGACCCCAGGACCTTTGGGGACCCTCCCCAGACCAGCCTATGGCCTTAGGAGTCCTGGGACCATTGCTTTCTTATCAGGACCCCTGTGACCTCTGTGACCCTGAGACTCCTCAGCCATCCTTCCACCTCCCTGACCCCAGGATTCCAGTGACCCTTGTGTCCACCCATGACCTCAGGGACCCTGGGGTCATCTCTTCTACCCTCCTGATCTCAGGCCCCCTGTGCAGCTCCCTGTCCAGACATTGACTTTGGGCCATCACTTCTGTCCCCCTAGACCTCCAGCCCTGTGTCCCCAGCCACTCCACCTATCCCTGGCCTACCCCCTGGGCCCCAAGCTTCCCTCTCCTGCCCCCCAGGGTCTCGTGCCCCTTCTCTTCCAGCCCCTCTGACCTGGGCAGCAGGGACGGGGACACATTCTCCCTGCCCCTATGTGTAACTTGGTCTCCTTCTCCCCTGCCCGCCACGGACGTAGGGAGAACATGTGAGTCCCACCTGGGCTATGGGCCGGGCTTCCACCACCGCCAAACTGTCTGCCAGGAATTTAAGATTAGCTGCCGCAGCAGGGAACAAAGACAACAGGCAGGACTAGGCCAGGAGCCACCTGAGGCTGGGAGCTGAGGGGACCCCCAGCACACCAGGCACACATCTGGGGTCTCAGTCTGGACATCAGGAAGCCACAGGAGGAGGTGGATGGAAGGAAGATGGGAGGACCTAGGGCTTTGTTGGGGCAGCTGACTCGGGAGTCTGGGGGTCTCCTACTACAAATGAAGGGGTCAGGAGTGAATGAGACCAGCCTGCTTTCAGGACCCCTCGTAGTTGGTTGTGAGCAGACCCAGCTTAGAGATGAGGAAATAGGCTGGGGCAGAGAAGCTTTCTCTAGAGACCCCCAGGATCTCCAGGAGAAGCAGGGCCCAGCTGGCCTCACGGGGCACCTGGCGGCTTGTGAGGAGAGAGTCTCACTCAGGAAGGGCCTGAAGCAGGTGGTGCTGGGACTGTGTTTCCTGGGGGTCCCTGGGCTCAATCCATCTCAGCACCCCTTCAGTCTCTCCCACAGGCTCCCTACCCTCACCTACTGTTAGACTCACAAGCCAACCATCCAACTCCTTCCAGGATTAAGGCCTAGAGTCTGGGAGGCCCATGGGATCTCCTTGGAGCCCTGGGTGTGCCCACTACCCCATCAGGATTAGGGTCACACTTGTAGGAAACCACTGTGGCTCCAGGCCAGGCCATTGTGTTGGTGGGCATGGGCAGGGACGGTGGGCAGCCAATCCTAAATTCTGAGCTCTGCGACGCTTGAAGCCCCGCCTGCCTCACTCTGCCCCTGTGGTTCCTGTCCCATGCTGCCCTGCCTCCCGCATGTCCCCTCCTGCCTCTGGGCAGCACCCATCAGAGCTCCGCTGGCCTCGGATGTCTTGGTGTGAAATATCATTTAATCCCTGGACCTCACCAAGTGAGAGGACTTGAAGCCCAGGTTGGGGGACCAGAAATGGCATCTAACTCAGAGTTGGGGATCCCCCAAATAGCAGACCAGCTGGGGGTTTCCACTCCACCCCCCACCAGGGCCAGCCATCTTTGCCTCATCCCAGACCCCTGGCCCCAGCCTGCCCCTGGGTCAATAGGGCCAGTGTCTTCTGCTCTACTGGGGTAACCTCCTACTTCCTGTTGCCTCGCCTCTTCTGTGCTCCCTACCATTGGTCCCTGAGCCAGAACCCCCAAGGGTGGTCTCTGCTGGTCAAGGGGTCATATGCTTATTGACCTCCCCTGGAGCACCAAACACACTAGGCCTCCCTAGACAGCTGCCAAGGGGCCTTTGCAGGCTGGGGGCCAGGCTGAAGTAGACCCTCCAGACACCCCCAGTCCTGGCTTGGACTGGGTGGGGTCCCAAGAGGCCAGTCCAGGCCCTTCTGTGACCAGGATAAAGTCACATCCCCTATAGGCCTTGGGGCCCCAGGCCTATTTCAGTGCAAGGCTGGAACACTGAAGATGCCTTACATCCTGGCTTCTCTCCTTCCTCAATTCTTGAGTTTGATCCTCTGTCCTCACCTCTCATGCCCTCCTCCTTCCTCTGGGTCTCCCTGGCTTCCTGGTGTCTGACAGGATTCCTCTCCTTTGTGCCTCACTCCCTGCCGCTTCTGGCACTTCTGGCCACCTATGTCTGTCTGTCTTTGTGTGTCTGTGTGTGCAGGAGGGCTTATGGGTGCCTGCACCCAGGCCCCTTGCCCTATAACCAGGACCACAGAGAGCAGATGTCCTGGGTAGCAGCTTTGGGTCAGGCAGGGGAGAGGGTGGGAGGGATGTTGGGGGACAGGGTGTGGGAGCCTCAGAACCGTAGGGCATTCCAAGAGAAGAAGGCTGCTCTGGGACCAACTACCTGACTCTGCCCTGCAGGACCCCATCTCACCTTGACCCTTAGACTTGTCCTCTGTCCATAGTCAGGGTCTCTACCCAACCCCGACTGCCCATGAGTGGACTTAGTGCTCTGCTGTCCTGGCCCCAGCCCTGGGGGGATGTGATGAAGTAGGAACCAACATGGACTAACCACGGCCTCCCTGGCTTCCCCAGGTACCATGACAAGCAAGAGGTGACCAGCAACTTCTTGGGCGCCATGTGGCTCATCTCTATCACCTTCCTCTCCATCGGCTACGGTGACATGGTGCCCCACACCTACTGTGGGAAGGGTGTGTGTCTGCTCACTGGCATCATGGTAAGGGCACTGCAGGGGCATCAGGTGGGTCTGGGATGAAGGGAGCTTGGCAGAAGGGAGTCACCAACCAATGCAGTGGGTGTGGAGGGTGTCCTAGAACTGCGGTACTAGACTCAGCACAAGTGTGGGGGCTTTACCCAATAGAAATGTATTTCCTCACAGTTCCGGAACTAGAACTCCAGATGCAGGGCGCTGGCTCTCAGGCAGAAGTCCCTGGCTCAGTTTCTGTAGCCTCAGCTCTTCAGCCTGGTCTTTCCCACACCTGTTCTCACTTGCTTCCCTATGTACGGTGCTGTTGTTATAACTGCCATCGAGTCAGTTCCAACCCATAGCAACCCTATAAAGGGTTTCCGAGGAGCGGCTGGTGAGCTTGAACGGCCAACCTTGTGGTTCAAACTGACTGCAGTTAACCCACAGCACCACCCCAGAACTCCTTCAGTTCTGACTCATAGCAACCCCATGTGGTACAAACACCCCTAACTGTAAGGTCGTGGTTTGAGTCCACCCAAAGAGACTTTAGAAGACAGGCCTGGTGATTTGTTTCTAAGAGTCAATAGCAGTGGGTTTAGTTTTTCATTTAATCTTTAATGGGAATGGTCACCAGGCCTTTTCTCCCTCAGAACCCTGGTTGGATTCAAACCACCAAGATTTCCGTTAGCAGCCAAGCACTTAACCACTGTGCCACCAGAGTTCCATAGGTTCGCTAGTGCCTTGGAGTTGGTTCCCACCGAGAGTGACCCTGTGCATAACAGAAAGAAACACTGCCCGGCCCTGCACCATCCTCACAAGGTGGCTAGGTTGGAACCCATTGCCGCCGCCGCCGTCACTGTGTATCTGTTCTTCACGTTGAGGATCTTCCTGGGTTTTCCTCACCCTCCACTTTACCAAGCATGACGTCCTTTCCCAGGAGTGGTCCCTCCTGATAACATGTCCAGAGCACCCTCACTTCTAAGGAGCATTTTGGCTGTACTTTTTCCAAGACTGATTTGTTCATTCTTCTAGCCATCCGTGGTATTTTCAATATTCTTCACCAACACCAGCATTCAAAGACATCTGCTCTTTTTTGGTCTTCCTTATTCACTGTCCAGCTTTCACATGCATATGAGGCGATTGAAAATACCATGGCTTGAGTCAGGCGCACCTTAGTCCTCAAAGTGACATCTTTGCTCTTGAACCCTTTAAAGACGTCTCTTGCTGCAGATTTGCCCAGTGACATCATTTGATTTCATAACTGCCGCTCCTATGGGCATTGATTGTGGATCCAAGTACAATGAAATCCTTGACAACTTCAGTCTTCATTTTATCATGATGTTTATTGTTCAGTTGTGAGGATATCCACAATGATTGGGCTTAGGATTTATACACTTTTTTTGCGGGGGCGGGCAGAACAGTTAAATTCACAACAGAGGGCCAGATGTGGGATGCAATTAATCATGACAGGCTTCCTGGAGGAGGGAGTGTTCTGCCAATGGCCTGGGAGAACCTCAGGGCAGGACCCTAATGTGCCCCTACCCTCTGCATGCAGGGAGCCGGCTGCACAGCGCTGGTAGTGGCTGTGGTGGCCCGGAAGCTGGAGCTCACCAAGGCTGAGAAACACGTGCACAACTTTATGATGGATACACAGCTCAACAAGCGGGTAAGGACCCCGCCTCTGCACCCATGGGGAGAGCCGCACATACCAGCATGCCTAGGCCAGGCATGGAGACATTTGGGCATGGCCAGGTGCCCTTCAGGAGGCCTGGAAATGCCAAAGCATGATCACACTCCACTATGCCTCCCCATGTACAAACCCAGGGTGATCGGAGTGCAATCATGGAATTCATGTGTACAAGGCCTGGCCGCTGGTGAACAAACGTAAGTGTGTTAGGAACACAGCCATGACACCACTGTGGCTGTTCAGACAGGCCAGCTGACCCAGTGTTAAGCATACATTAGTTTACTTGAGATGCCGTAACAAATTCGCAGACATACTGGATGACTCGGAACCACAGAAATTTCTTCTCTCACAGTTCTGGAGGCTGGAGACCCTAGTGGCACAGTGGTCAAGCCATCTGCTGCTAATCTAAAAGTTGGCAGTTCAAATCCACCAGCCACTCTGAGGGAGCTAGAGGTGGTAGTGTATCTCCACAAAGATTATAGCTTTGGAAACTGTACAGGTCAGTTCTACTCTGTCCTATGGGGTCGCTATAGGACTATGAGTCAGAATTGATTGGATAATGGTCATGGAGCTTGGATTGAAGTATGTCTCCTAAAAAAGATACAAGGTCTAAACTCCCTGGTCATCCCTGTGAATGTGACTAGGGTCTTTGAAAATGTTATCAGTTAGGATAACATGAGGTCATAATGGGTTTCTAATCCCATCTGAAAAGTGTGCTTATAAGAGAAAAGAGACACACAGAGGGAAACCCCTGTATGGGAAGTTAGAATTATGTTGCAGCTATAAGCTGTCTGTCTGTGTGCCTGGGGCTACTAGAAGCTGAGAGAGACAAGAAACTATTTTGCCTGAGATCCTGCTGAGCACAGCCCTGCTGACACTCCAAATTTGGACTTCGGACCTCCAAAACCATGTGAGAACAATAAATTTCTGTTTTTATGAGCTGTGCAGCTTGTGCTACCTCATGACAGCAGCCCCAGGAAACACACTGCGTCACGAAGGTTGGTTCCTTCTGAAGGCTCAAAGGAAGAGTCCATTCCCTGTCTCTTTCCTGGATTCTGGTGGCTCCTAGCAGCCCTTGCTGTTACCTAGCTTGTGGCTGAATGACTTCAATGTCTGCCTCCATCATATGTGCCTGTCCTATCCTTGGACTTAGAACAAAACAAAACAAAACAAAACCCCACTGCAGTGAAGTCATTGTTGACCCATAGCAATCCCACATCACAGAGTAGAACTGCGCCTTAGTGTTTACTTGGCCATGGTCTTATGGAAGCAGATCATGGGTCTTTCTTCCATAGTACCGCTGAGTAGGCTCAGAACATCAACCTTTAGGTGCTACCCAGGGACCTAGGGCCCACCCGAATCCCTAGGACCTCTGTTAATTATATCTGCAAAGACCTTGTTTCCAACTAAACTCACATGCTGAGATTCTGGGTGGACATGTAACATCACCTGTCCTGAAGAACTGTTCTCTTCTGGCCCCAGGTAAAAAATGCCGCTGCTAACGTTCTCAGGGAGACGTGGCTCATCTACAAACACACCAGGCTGGTGAAGAAGCCAGATCACGCCCGGGTTCGGAAACACCAGCGTAAGTTCCTCCAAGCCATCCATCAGTAAGTCCTGCCCCTTCCCACTCATGTTTCGGTGTCCAGCCAGCATGGAGGCAGCATGAGGCCACAGGCCGGGCTAGGCAGCTCAGTGTGGCCAGGTGGCCAGTTGGTTGGGGCCTGTAGCTCCTGTAATGGGTGGAATGCTGGAGTTGGGGGTCTAGGCTGGCCAGGTTTCTGGTGAATGGAAGGCCTGGAACAACTGCTTCAAATAAGTCAGGGAAAGCCACCCAATCTAAGGGACAAAGAATGCGTTTGATCCTCTGGAGTAACCAGAAGGCTTTCTTTTCCCCTACAATAGAGATTACGTTTCTAGCCATACTTCAACCCATAATGTTGCCTCTTCTGGTTAAGTGTTCCAGTTTATCCACATTTTAAAACTCTGGGTCCCTACTAGTGTCACGTCATTGACCATGACTGAACCGGCTTAAACCGGTTTGAAGCCCCTTTATCCCTAATGATAAGGAGTCCTGGTGTGGCGAGAGTTCTGGTGTGTGCTGCAGGATAAGTATTTGCTAATCACAAGGTCAGTAGTTCAAACCCATCAGTCGCTCCTCAGGGTCACTATGAGTCGGATCTGACTGTACGGCACTTTAACAACAACAATAATGATAACTTCAACTGTGGGGACATTTCAATGTAATAACATAGAATATGCCTGGCATGGTCCTCAGCACAGGCAAAGGCTTGGTAAAACATAGCACCCCCTGTCTTTGCTTCCACGCCCCTCTAAAAAGCAAGGAGAAAGAAAGACTGACATCCTACCGAGCTCACTGCCATGTGCCTACGTATGTATCCCACCTTACCGGACCACACGGGAGTAACATGCCTCCTTCCTAGAACAGACTGTGGGTGGTTCCAACAGGATTGGGTGGCTTGGGACCTCACCCATACCTTCTGCTTCATGTTTTCTAAACTACTGGGCATGGGCCTAAGGTCCCCTGGTATAATCTGCTCATTTGCTCATTTCTCAAGCATTCCCCATGCTGGCTGGCATGCTGGCTGGCATGCCAGTCATGGGAGACAGACACGGTCCTGCCCTGGACCTCACCCCAAGAGATGTTTCCAGAAGGTTCTCTGAGGGATATGGAAAGGTAGAATCAAGGATATGAGCCAGTTCTAAGGAGAGGCTCCTACTCACTCACTCACCTCTAGGTCCGTCTGCTGCCCCCCAACCCCAAAAGCTGACAAAATCAAGCAAGCCTGGGCCTGATTGGGTAAATAGGATCTGGGTAGAAACTGAAGAGTGGGAAAGCATACTAAATAGTCTGGGTCATGGTGAGGGTAAAGATGGGGAGGCAGGGATGGATATATAATATCAGGGAGACTGGAGGTCTAACCTGTGGGTACAAGGGAGACATGGCAGGTTCTTGAATTGGAGTATCCCATGATGGGAACATTGTATAAGCAGCCAATGAAGAAATGGTCCCCAGCAGGGTGAACTGTAGGGGACAGCATGGGTTTGAGAATCCCAGACCAGCCAAGGATTTCCCCAGGGAAGGGCATGTTGAGCAGGGCTCCTAGCAGGCAGCCCCTCCCCTCTAAGGCACCCCTGTACCTCCTTCCTGCCCAGCCCTGACCCATGGAACTGAGGCATCTGTGTCCTGCTCTGTTGCTCCAGACTGGGAGCCCTCAGGGGCTGAAGCCAGGGCTGGGCCATCTCAGGACTGGGCACTGAGGGGTCATTCTGGGTGTCTGTCACAGGTGGTAACGCAGGGGCTGAGCTTGGATATGTGAAGGTTGGGACACATGAGGAAAGTCCTCGGAATGGTCTCCTGGATCACTTTAGCTACTGAAGTGACAGTAGTGGGGCTTAGCAATGTCACCTCCCCCCATGGGCAGCTGTCTAGGGCCGAGTCTGGAGCGGCAGGTGCAGGTTCCAGCCCTGCTACTGGCTTCCCTCTCTGAGTCTCGGCTCCATTTTTGGTAAGCAGCACAGTTGGAGCTTTCTGGATTAAGCCCCACCCCAGGAGCTCATGGGGTTCCAGCTCCCCCTTCCCATCCCCACTGGGGACAAGGACTGAGGGCATGTGCAGGTGTCCTGGTCAGGACTTAGGGGAGACAGTTGCTAAGGGTAAAGGACAGAGGACAGATGTGTCCTGAGAGGTCTGGCACCCTTAAAGACCAGGCCCTTACCCAAAGCAGGGTGGCACCCTCATGCCATCCAGGGCCCAGCCCTGCTGTCTCAGGGGCCCCGGGCAGGAGGTGAACTTGTGGGTGGGAGGTGGGCAGCGATCTAGCAGGTGCTGCTGGCTGCGCTGAGATTAAAATTGCTTCGTGGTTTTTCTCTGCTCCGCTGGTCCTGTTAGAGCTCAGAAGTAAGTGTCCTCTGGGGGTTCAGGTGGGAGCTGGTGGTGCATGGTAATTAGGGTGGCTCTATCAGGCAGCTTGGGGTGCGCTACCTCAGGCTCCAGAGGCAAGCAGCCTCCTGTCAACCCTGGGGGCTGATGTAGGCACCTCCTTGAGACTAGGGGTCCTGAACAGGGCCTCCTCCACTGCCCCCCGCATGCCTTACTGGGTTGTAGGAAAGGGCCCCACCCCTCCCTGCATGTTCCAGAAGGTGACCCTGGGCAGATGCATGAAGGATCCCACCCCACCCCTATACCTGGCTGTGGGTTCCCCCTGACCCTGCCCACCCATGTGTCCCCAGGCTACGAAGTGTGAAGATGGAGCAGCGGAAGCTGAATGACCAGGCCAACACTCTATCCGACCTGGCCAAGGTGAGTTGACAGAGCAGGTGGCTCCAGGGCCAGCAGGTGACGGGAGGGTCGGGGAATGGCACCAGCAGGTGTCCCAGGTGGAAAGGCTTTCTTGGGAAACAGAGGTCTACTGTGACTAGAAGGAGCTCTGGTAGCATAGGGGTTACGAATCGGGCTGTGAATCTTAAAGTCAGCAGTTCGAAACTATCAGCTGATATGTGGGAGAAAGAGGAGGCTTTCTGCTCCCGTAATGGTTTACAGCCTCAGAAACCCTGTACAGGGTTGCTATGAGTCGGAACCGACTCCACGGCACATCACCACCTACCACTGTGACTAGAGGCTTCAGAAGTCCAGAAGTCTACCTGTGTACTTTTATTTTTAATGTTGGCAGCTCTTTTTTCAAAAATAAACCTCAGAGGTGACCTTACAGAGCCATCCAATGTGAGATGCTGCATAGAGCCTCCAGAAGTCACCCTTAGGCCCTGGGCTGTGAGGACCCACTCGAACTGGGGTCAGCTGAGGAATAGGCAGGGAGGAGTCATAGTCAAGCAAAGGTGTGGCAGTTACACCTGCGGCTTAGGGAGGAGGTATTTGGGGCTGGGTGTCTGATCCCTGTGCCTTCCACCCAGCAGAGTTATTTCTTGGGTCCATGAGTATCAAGGTAGCATGAGACTAGTCAGGGTCATCCTATGCCATCAAGTTGATTGTGACTCATAGTGACCCTATATAGGGTTTCTGAGACTTTTATAAATCTTTATAGGAGCAGGCAGCTTCATCTAAGGAGTGGCTAGCCAACCCTCCCCACCCCACACCCCACCCCCCCACACACAAACACATACCCCGAGCCTTGCACACCCCCTCAGCATACAGGGCTGAGTCAGTTAGCTGGAGCCTCTGGAGTGTCGTTCTTGCGCCACCTGGTGGCAGTAAATGGCATCTCCTCCCAGGACTCCTCCATGGTTGGGGCCTCCCCCTCCAAACGTGCCTATTTGCTGGGTGGTGGGGATGCCCAACCATGGCCCTGGTAGTAACTGTAGTGACTGGTGGTGCCAGTGGTAGATGGAGCTAGGCCAGGGCTCTGTCACCTCCCTACTCAGACTCCAGCCCTGTCCCTAGCTGGAATCGGAACAGCTTGCAACTGAGTTGGGGTCCCCTGATTTCCTCCTGTTCAAGTGTCCCCAACTCCCCACTACCTCCTGCTACTCCCTACCTGGAGCCACATCAGCCCAGCCTCCCCCAAGGACTTGGTATGAAGACATTGCCCCTCCAGGACCAGCCCCTTGGCCAGGACCCTCATGTGGGACTCTCTTCCCATAATGTGGGCCATAGCCCCCTCCCCACTGCAGGGCTGGGAGACTTTTCATTTAGAGGTTGCATTATGTGTGGGATTCCCTCCCCACCCTACCATCCAGGATCTGGCGAACTCTTGAGTGGGGTATGCCTTGGGACTAGTTCATCCCTTCCAGATGAGTCTAGCCACATTCACCCCCACCAGACCTGCTGGTCTTGATCCTGGCATTCAAAGCCCCATTCTCCCCTTCTGTGTTGTCATTCCCTGGGCCCCAGCAGGAAACCCGACGGTCACCCTTAGGGACTGTCCACCTGTATGGTTCCCTTACTCTCCATCTCCCGTATACCGCCCACAGACTCAGAGCGTCATGTACGACCTGGTAGCTGAGCTGCATGCCCAGCACGAGGACCTGGAAAGCCGCCTGGCTGCCCTGGAGACCCGCCTGGACGCGCTGGCCGCCTCCCTTCAGGCTCTGCCTGGTCTCATCGCCCAAGCCATACGTCCACCACCACCACCCCTGCCACCCCGGCCTGGCCCTGGGCCCCTGACCCCAGCTGCCTGGAGTCCCTCAAGCCGGCGGCCGCCTGCGACCCCCTCAGACTGCGGGTGACAGTCCTGCCCACTACCAGACCCCAAGTCTTGGTCATCGTGTGGCCACTGCCTCCACCCCGCCCAGGAGGGCCTGTCCAGCGGCACCTCCAGGAGAGCCAGAAGTCGCAGCTGAGTCGGGTTCTGTGGCCCGGGGACACCAGGCCCACCACTTCCACCATGCTGGGACAGGTGGAGGCGCGGAGCTTCCCCAGTCCCCTGGCCCCTGGTGGGCAAGGAGCAGCTGGAGGGGTCCTTGCCACTTCTGAATAAAGCAGGACCCTGAGTGCTGCCTGTTGGGTGTGGTATGGTTGGGGGAGTGTCCTCACCCCCAGGGGATGGACTTCCTCACTCACAGCAGCCCCTCCCTGGCCCCCAGGCCTGTCCTCATCACTATCCCAGCCCTGGCGAGAACAGGTGTGCTGGTCAGGTTCCCAGAAGGCACCTGGTAACTGGCATACCCCTCCATCTCTCCTTCCCTGTGCCCTGCTGGCTTTGATGGAGCCCCGCTGGTGCCTCACTCAAGGTCCAATTCAGTCATTCCCTGGACATATATTGAGTGTCTGCTGTATACAGTGAATGGTATGCAAATGACTGCCCTGACTTTGCACCAGAACCAGTTGGGTTGAAGATGGGGAATTTGAAGGCTGTGAAGCTTCCTGCCCAGGGATACCTGGTAGGGGAGTGTTGCAACCAGGATTAAACTGGGGCAGAGAGGGATCAAAGTAGAGAACATGGACTTGGTGGTGGACATCCCATGGAGGGGTTATGTGCAGGGGACATGGGATCCTGGGGTTAGAAATCCCCTCAGGCAAGTCAGTTGGAAGGTTCCTGAACATTTGTAGCTTCCGAAAGGTCTCCCACTCCCACCCCAGCCTTGACTGTGGGGTGGTGGTGGTAGCCGGGGTAGACAAATGTGGGGAGCAGGCTGGGGCTGGGGGGAAGGCTGAGGCAGGTATGGGGGCAGCCAGGGCCAGAATGAGCCGGCTGTGAGGAGCTGACCTAAAGAGGGAACAGACTCTGACCTGGGAGGGGGAGGGACAGACTGAGGCCAAGCAGGGAAGAACCACACGGAAGTGGGGTGACGCAGAGGGGGAAGGCAGTACAGAGGGGAGCAGTGCCGGAGCATGGCAAACACTAGGTCCTGGGTGGGAAGGGCAGGTGGGGCTCCAGTAAGCTAATCTGGGCCCTGCTGAGGAGCTCAGGCCTGGCAGCACCAGATAAGACCATGGACTACCTAGTACAGGGAGATTCGGTAACCAAGTGACAACTAGATGCTAAGAACCAGTAGGAGAAGGGTCTGGGCAGTGACTGATGCAGCTAGACCTACGTTCAAGTCCTGGCTCTCCCACTGCGTTCAAGTCCCGGTTCTGCAGCTGCCCCTCTTGGAAGTTTGCTCATCTATCAGATCCAGGATGACAGTATATTAAACCAGGGAACTTAAAAGGATTACACACACAGCTGGTATTCAATAAATGCTCCCTCTTACTCGATCACTTATGTGAGGGGGGCGCGTTATTAAGCAGTTGACAAACTATCCTGAGCTTTATACCACCCCCAATGAATCCTGGCTCCAACATCGCCGGCTGGATAGTCCTGGTAGGCACAGAGGCATAGCAAAGTGAGATGGGAGTAGGTAGGAGGGAGGGGTGTACTAAGCCCTGGGGGCTAAAGTCCAAGGAGTCACCAGATGAAGAGAGAAATGACATTCTGAGGTCCCACATATATCAACGGAGAAAAGATTGAAGTTGTCAAGGACTTCATTCTTCTTGAATCAACTATCAATACTCACAGAAGCAGCAGTCAAGAAATCAAATGATGTATACATTAGGCAAATCTGCTGCACAGGAACTTTTTAAAGTATTGAAGAGCAAAGATGTCAGCTTGAGGACTAAGGTGAGCCTGACCCAAGCCATGGTATTTTCAATAACCTCATATGCATGTGAAAGCTGGACAGTGAATAAGGAAGACCGTAGAAGATTGATGCTTTTGAGTTACGGTGTTGGAGGAGAATATTGAAAGTGCCATGGGCTGCCAAAAGAACCAACAGATCTGTGTTGGAAGAAGTGCAGCCAGAGTGCTCCTTGAAGGTCAAGATGGCCAAACTTTGTCTCTCATACTTTGGACATATTGTCAGGAGGGACCAATCACTGGTGAAGGACATCATGTTTGGTAAGGTGGAGGGTCAGAGAAAAAGAGGAAGACCCCCAACAAGATGGATTGGCCAAGTGGCAGCATCAATGGACTCAAGTGTGGCAACAGTAGTGAGGTTGGCCCAGGATCGGGCAGTGTTTCATTCTGCTGTGCATAAGGTCACTATGAGTCGGTACTGACTCGATGGCACCTAACAACAACAACAAAAACATACATGAAAGGTGTGTGACGGAAGCAGCAGACAAGAAAGGGGAAGGCTTTTCTGCAGCCTGCTAGCAGCTATCAACGTCTATTCATTTCGAAATTGAGAGGGTGAGCAACTTAGAAATTGCCCCTGTATGGTCCTTAACCCAGATATGCTTCTGGGCAAGTGGCCTCACCTCCCTGTTCCTCAGTTTCCCCTCTCTAATTCAAGCAGAGGAGTCATGGTGTGGCGCTGTGGGTTAATGCGCCAGACTGCAAAGTCGTTTGAACTGCAAGGTCGGTGGTTCAAGCTCATGAGCTGCTCCTCAGAAACCCTATACAGGGTCACTATGGGTCGGAATCAACTCGACGGCACTTAACAACAATCGAAGCAGGTGTAGTGAAAAGCCTCGTGTGATCTTTTATGTCCTGTCCCCTGTATACAGCAGATACTCAATACTGGTTTAGTTAATGAGTAACTGGCTGGGGAAACTGAGGCCCAGAGAAGGAAAGAGACTGCCTTTTCAGGGTGGGAGGGAACCATTTAGGCCTCCGCTGAGCTGGTTGCAGGACCCAGGGTTGGAGTGTTGTGATGTGGGGGTAGGGTGCGGCACCCACCCATGAGTACAGCCCAGACTGATGGAGGAGGCTCAATAAGCATAGAACAACGGAAAACCCGGTCGTAAAGAAATAAACAAGACCATTTTGTGACTAGGGGGCTTAGGAGATGACTTTGAATGGAGATGGGGACGGAGCGAGGAGAAGATCCCGACTGAGAAACTGTCACTGCAAAGACAAGAAGCAGGACCTGAGCATAGTGTTTGGGGACCAGACAGTTTGAGACTGAAGGAGAGGGCGGCTGGGGTGACGCTGGGCCAAAGGGGTGGGGGGTGTGCAGGACCACAAGACAGAGGATCCCGAAGTCACTGCCCGCGCTGCACCACCACATCCGCCCCGCCCGCCTCTGACTCAACAGCTTCGATCCAGCATAAACAGATCCCGCCCCACTGGGGGGTTACAAAGTCAATAAAGGGTGCTTGCGGCCTGGGCGCGTCACTGGGCGGGCGCTGGGACCAGGAAGTCGGTGGAGGGCCGGAGCGCGTGCACTGGTGCACGGAGGCTGAAGAAAACTGGAGCTATCCCGGCCACGCGGAGGAGCGCAGAGCTCGGAGGTTTGCAGACTCGCCCGGCCCCGCGTCATGCGCCCCTGGGGCGTGCGCAGCTTCGTTTTGGAGCTGGCCCGGGACCCGGGAGGCTCCTATCGAGGCGGGGAGCGGCTGTGCGGTCGGGTGCTGCTGGAGGCGGCGGCGCCACTGCGCGTGCGAGCGCTCGAGGTGGCTGCACGCGGCGGAGCAGCGGCGCACTGGCTCGAGGGCTCCAGCCTGGGAATCAATGCGGTGTCTAGCGATTATGCGGCCTCTGAGACGTATCTGTGGCGACGGCAACTGCTGCTTCGAGGTGAGCTGCTCCACCAGACCTTCTTTGACAGGGACCCCGCCCTCTGGATCTGGGCGCCCCTCCCGTCTAGAGCCTGGAACCTTTCGATTTACAAATACGTTGGGATCCTCTTCCCAGGGTCTGAGCAGGCCCCCTCCAGAGCACAGCCAGGGCCCCCTCGGCTGAGACCTCCTCCCTGGAATGTGGCTCACCCCTTCCAAGGCTGGGAGACCTTACATTTAATGGTTGATTAGGAGACACGAATAGGACTGCGAACCGCAAAGTCAGCAGTTTGAAACTACCAGCTGTTCTGCGGGAGAAAGATAAGGCTTTCTGCTCCTGTAAAGATTTACAGCCTCAGGGTCGCTATGAGTCGGTTCCGACACCACTGCACATAACCAACCAACCAAGGAGACCTTCTCAGTGCGTGGGGACCCCCTATCTAGGGTCTGGGGATACCTTGGATAGGATCGATGAGCCCCCCCCCCCCCCCCCCGCTCTGGACCCCACGAATCCTTTTAAGGGTCTAAGCTCCCTGATCCTAAAAAAAGGCGCCTCTCACACACTGCCCAGTGCCTACCCACCCCAGTTTACTCAGCAACTGTCTGAGCTATGGGGTCATCCCTGGGAAGGGGCCTTTGGTGGTGTTATGGGGAGAGGGTGGGAATGTTCCTCTAGGGAGAAGAAACTTTGGGTGAGAATCTTCTGTCCGGGAGTCCCTACCCCCTACCTGAACCTCAGTCTTTCCTCCTCACCCCAGACCACAGAAATGGGTGTGGGACTTGCAGTCAGCTCAGGCTGTGTAACTGTGTAACAGGGAGACCTCGGCCTCTCTGGGCCCGCCAAAGCCAGACTGCGGTATTCCTGTCACTAAAATGGAAGGGGCCAGAGAGAGGGGCAACTCTCCGACCCCTGAAAGTTCCCTTTTCCTAGTACATCCTCAAAGCCTTGTCCCCAAAGTCCCAGGCCAGGAACCTGCCTCTGACCAGTTGTGGAAACAGAGAGGCAAAAGCAGCAGCAGTGGGACAGGAGGAAGCCATAGAGGCACTTCCGGTCTAGAGAGGCTCATGGGAAACATGAATCCTCCTTGGCCCGCAGGGCTGCTGTGTGACTCTGGGGAAGACTTGCCCCCTCTTTGAGGCGCAGCTATGAAATGGGTCGAAGGAACCCCCAGCTCAGTCCGAACCTCCCCTACCTTGACCGCGAAAGGGCAGCACATCAACTCATTCTCGTCTGCTCCTGGGCGTCTGACTTCCTGTCCTGCATCTTGCCCTCTCTCAGGCGCCACTTGGCCATGGGAGACGATTCTAATGCCCTCTCCTGACAGCCCCCTAGTCAGACACCTACACCTCCTTGAACACCACCAGCCCTCGGTTCTCCCTTCTTTGGCCCTGGACTGACTCCCCTCTTTCTGAGCTGCTGTACCACCACTCAGGGGTGCCGAGGCCTCCGCTTTGTTTAAGCCAAACCCACATCTGACGGCCACCAGGAGGCGCTAGCGCTCTGAAAACGGCGCGGAGGCAACCCCAGGTTGCCTGGAATCTTCTCTGTACACTCTGCTCTTTCTTGGGGAAACTGAGGCCCAGAAAGAGGACTCACCTCAAGCCTGTAGCGTTCCGAGCTCCTGGCTCTGTGTAGCTAGGGGGAAGCCAGGGGTGTGTTCCCAGAGCGGTACGAGGGCTCAGTCGAGGGAACGCATGTGTTTGCCAAGGATTGAAGACTGGAAAATGTATGTTGGGAAGTAGGAACAAAGTGGACAAAGGCGCCAGGCGAGGCAAAGTGGCCAGATGGGGGCAAGCTGATGACTTTGGGGCTGCAAATCTCAGCTCTGCAGATGTGAAAAGTGAGGTCCCAGAGATTGTCACTTGCCCAGGTCACCCAGTTGATTTGTGGGTGAAGGTAGAGTGACCCAGTGATGCCCTAAGTGAAGGGAGACCCCATCCATTTTCTTTGTTTCCCATTTCTCAGCGGGGGAAACTAAGGCCCAGGGAGACCCAGATTCTTGGGACCCCCGCCCTAAGATCAGGCCCTACCCAGCAGGTTGACGATTAAGTTGGAGGGATAAGGTACTCTCTCATTTGGGTTACCTCAGGTCTTCTGGGCACCCCCCCCCCCCCCCCCCCGCTTGTAGACCTCAGTTTCCCAGCTTGACCACCGGGGTCCGCCAGAGACCCGCTCCATTTGCTCTGCGCCTCAGTTTCCTCCCTGCAGCCTCAAGAGAGGGCGTGGACCAGAAGGGAGGGGCTTGAGCCAACTGATGTTTGTTATTTTCCTCCACGCCTGGCTGGAGCCACGTCTCTAACCAAGCCATTGGGAGAGTCTGTTCTGTAGGCGAAGCTATGCTTCGCCCCGCCCAAGCCATATAAAAGCGGAGGCTACGCGCGGTGCCGGCAGACTCTCGTTAGCTCCTCCTGTGCGCAGGCGCAAACCTGGCAGGCTCGGATTCCTAAACTGCAGCGTCCTAGGGTTGTGCTGCCGCCGTTGCCACAGCACCGCGAGTTCGAGGCTGGGGTCCGTGCTTCTCGGGTTCGCGTCCTAGGGGCAATGTTGTTCGACAAGGTGAAGGCGTTCGCGGTGCAACTAGACGGGGCCAGCGTGGGAGCGGAGCCTGTGTTCAGCGGTGGTCAGGCCGTGGCTGGCCGTGTGCTGCTCGAGCTGTCGGGTGCGGCGCGCGTGGGCGCCCTGAGGCTGCGTGCTCGGGGCCGTGCTCAAGTGCATTGGACCGAGTCACGCAGCGCGGGCTCAAGCACCGCGTACACTCAGAGCTACAGCGAGCGCGTGGAAGTGGTGAACCACCTTACCACGCTCCTTGCTCCAGGTACAGACGGGGACATGGGGGCTGCGTACCTCCCACTTGACGGCTGGACTTCGGTGCAGTCCCTGAGCCCCACTCTGCTCCTACCTGCAGACACCGGAGAGACTACAACTCTGCCCCCTGGCCTCCATGAGTTCCCGTTCAGCTTCCAGCTGCCCCCGTAAGTCCCAAGTCTGCAGTCCTTCCAGGTTTGGGGATACCCAGGGGACCCCTGGGCCCAAAGACTATCCCTCTGGGGGACCTCCCAAGTGTGTCTCTGAGTGTCCCAGTGTCTGGACCCTGCTGTGTGTCTGTGTATCTCACCCCTAAGGCCCTCTCCCGTTATTCCCAGGACCCTGGTAACGTCTTTCGAGGGTAGACACGGCAGCGTCCGCTACAGCATCAAGGCCACCTTACACCGGCCCTGGGCCCCCGCGCGCAGGGCCAGGAAAGTGTTCGTCGTCATTGAACCTGTGGATATCAACACTCCGGCCCTGCTGGTGTGTGGCTACCCCAGGAGCTGTAGCTGTGATGGGGGTGCTGCAGCCAGGGACCTGGCCTGGGGGACCCCAGCAGGATCCACACCCACTCACCCCTTGCATGAATTGGGGGTGAACTGCTTGGCTCTGGGAGGGAAGCAGACAGGCAGGTATAGGAAAGCATTTGAAGTCCAGAGGCAACAGATGCAAATTCCACCTCTGCACCAAGTTGCTGTGTAGCTCTAGCCAAGTGTCTTGCCCTCTCTGAACCTCATGCCCTATCTGTGTCTGCAAAATACTGCATAGGCCACAACTGGAAATTGCAATTGCTTGTTGTTAGTTGCTGTCCAGTCTATTATGAACCATGGCAAGACCCATAGTGCTTTGCAATGCCTTTGACATTTCAGAAGCTTTGCTGTTTACACCAGTAAGCGCTTATCAAGCACCAATGCGCTAAGCATTTGGTTTGTTTATTTTCTTTTCTGTCTCATAAAAGTCAACTGTATCTCTGGGTCAAAGTCCCTAAGTGATGCAGTTTGTGCTCAGCTGCTAACCTAAAGCTTGGCAGATTGAACCCATCCAGCGGTGCTGTGGGAAAAATGCATGGCAAGCTGCTACCATTAAGATTATAGTCAAGAAAATTGTGTGGAGTAGTTTTGTTTTGCTGTACATGGAGTAGCAATGAGTCAGAATCAACTCAAGGGCAATTAACATCTACCACTACATCCCAGGGTTCATTTTACAGATAGTCCGAGAATGGTTGGAAAGAAACTGGGTTTCCCCTACCAAAGTCCTCCCTCACTGGCAGGGTTTAGGAAGCTCCAAGGTGTTTGCCCAGAGTGACCCATTTGTTATTCCTCTCTTCCACCCTGGCAGGCACCCCAGGCAGGCGTCCGGGAGAAAGTCGCCCGGACCTGGTACTGTAACCGTGGCCTTGTCTCCCTCTCAGCTAAGATTGACCGAAAGGGCTACACGCCAGGTAAGCTGGGTAGCAGGTAGGCAGGCGGGGCCAATAGCAGGGCCAGGGTTGGGGCTATGGTTGAGGAAACTGAGATACCCCACTCCTCGCTGCAGGTGAGGTGATCCCTGTCTTTGCGGAGATTGACAACGGTACCACACGCCCTGTACTACCAAGGGCAGCTGTGGTCCAGACGCAGACCTTCATGGCACGAGGCGCCCGCAAGCAGAAGCGGGCAGTGGTGGCCAGCCTGGTGGGCGAGCCCGTGGGCCCCGGGCGGCGGACCCTGTGGCAGGGCCGGGCACTACGGATCCCACCTGTGGGCCCCTCCATCCTGCACTGTCGTGTGCTGCATGTAGACTACACACTCAAGGTAGTGCATCTTGGTTGAAGCAGCAGGGGGGTGTGTTTTCTTGGTGCCCAGACTTGGGTTCTCCAGGCCTCAGTCTCCCCAGGCACAGGGAGAGGGGTCAGTAGAAGGTAGGGAGGGGATAGGATGGGGGTAGGTGTGGTGGAAATTACAGCTCACTCCCAGGTTTGTGTCCCCTCTGTCCCTAGACTGGTGTTTCCTGAGGGTGGACCTGGGGCCAGGAAGTGTAGGAGTGAGCAGGCATAGTGGAAGCTGCCAGATGCCCTCCCTCATGACTCTCTCCCAGGTCTGTGTGGACATCCCAGGCACGTCCAAGCTGCTCCTGGAGCTGCCATTGGTCATCGGCACTGTGCCCCTGCACCCCTTCGGCAGCCGCTCATCTAGTGTGGGCAGTCATGCCAGCTTCCTGCTGGACTGGGGGCTGGGCGCCCTGCCAGAGCAGCCTGAGGGTAGGTACCAAGGCTTGCTGCAGGGGAACCCAGGGTAAAGGGATGGACATCATGTCACCCCCCCCCCATTCTTAGTTCCTCTAGTGATAGTGGTGACAGTCACCAGTGTCCCCAGAGTCCCAGTCACCTCCCTGAGGGCATACAGCCTCAGAGTTGGCACTTATTCTGAGCTCCCCACCACTTCTACTGTTTCACCCACCCTGTTTCTCATTTCCAGCTCCTCCTGAATACTCAGAGGTGGTGGCAGATGAGGAGGTACCCACCGCGGAACAGAACCTCTTCCCACCACTGCCAGACCTTGACCTAGGCCTTGAGGGCCCCTTCTTTACCTACATTCAGGAGTTCCGCTACCGCCCACCACCCCTGTACTCTGAGGTGAGTTTGGCAGTCCAGGAACTCCCCTATACCTTTCCAGACCCAGGATAGGAGACGTAGAAAGACAGATGTTTAATGTTAATACAAAAGCTGCTATATATACCTAAACACCCGAACTCGTATACATACCTCAGCATCCAAGCATCCAAATTCCCATGATGCCCTAGTCAATCTAGGTGTTGCCCTTTGATCACCTTTCCCCTGGATGAATGTGGGATTTGGGGAAAGGCCATTTTAGCAGAGGTTTTGATGTGTGGTTAGGAGTTCAACTCAAAGGCAAGTGAGAGGGGGAATTTGGAGAAGATTTGGGAGATGTTTGAAGCAAGGAGGTGGGTTTTCCCCAAGACCTAATGGGAACGTCTTCTTCAGGAGGACCCTCACCCACCCACGGAGGCTATCAGACCTCGCTGCATGACCTGCTGAGCATCAGGTGGATACTTTGAGGAACAAAGTTGCATACTGCTCTGACCAGCACATACCTGGAGTGCTGGAGCAAGAATGAACCAGCCTGACAGCTTTGAAGTTGGGGAAATGTCTCAGATTGGGCAGAGACTATTCCGGAATCACATGGGACAGGTGGAATCTGGCATCTAATGCCAAGTGCAGGATCCAACTGTTTACTGTCTGTGCCCTGCCTGTGGGCAGTGTGTGGATCCCCTAAGAAGCCTCCAGTCTGAGTGGTTCCCGAAGGTGGGCCTGGGAGCCACACACATCCAGCTACATGGGACTAAAAAGAAGAACCCCAGGGCTGGAAGTGTCCAGAAGGGGAGCAGAGAAGGTTTCCTGGAGGAAAGGGTATTTTAGCTGAGGCTTTGATAGACAAATAGGAGCTCAACAGGCAGGCACGTGAAAGGGAGGAGAAGGTCAGAGCTGAACAACGTTTGGAGCCCAGTTCCTTGCTTTTAGCAGGGAGAACTGGGAATGCAGAAGCAGTTGCCTTAGTTGAGGCCACGTTGTAAGGTCCAGCCTGAGAGAAGGCCCAGGAGTGAGGTATTCAGAGAAGCAGGTGGTTGGGTGATGTGGGGATGTCTGAGTAGCATAGGTAATGACCTCAGCCTCTGAAAGCCAGAGCTTCCTGGCCTGGGCCCTGGCTGTCCGGGGTTCCTCCAGGTACCCCAGTATGTTAACGGCTATCTAGGCAGAAAACCAGGACTCAGGGGTGACAGACAGGACTGACAACATAAGTTGCAAAATGAAAACACAGGTTCCCCTCTTCAGACAGTCTCAGGATTTCAAGAAAGGGACCACAGAGCCATTAACTTAGGTGCAGGGCTTCATGGGACTGTCAGCCCACACCCCCGGGACAGGAGAGCCAGGGGACCCCTGTGTTCTGACAGCACAAAGCATGAAGGGGCCACTGCAGAGTCCCAGTCCTAGCTGGGGCAGGGCCTCTGTCTGGGACTCAGCATTTTCTGATAAACCTTTAAAAAGTGTATTCTTTTATATAATAATTTTTTTAAAAAATAAAATAAAATATGGAGGAGAGGAGCCTCATTGGTTTATTTTCCCCAAAACCTTCCAAAGGATCCAGGGTGGCGTACACATAGTAGATTATGAGCTTGGTCACAAACCTCAAGGTCAGAAGTTTGAATCTACCAGTCACTCCATGGGAAAAAGATGAGGCTTCCTGCTCCCAGAAAGATGTGGATAAACACTGGACCGCAAAGTGGGTTTGGACTGCAAGGCCGGCGGTTTAAAGTCTTCAGCCGCTCTTTGGAAACCCTATACAAGGTTGTTATGAGTTGGAAGCAATTCCATGACACTTAACAACAACAAAATATTTACAGCCTCGGAAGCCCTACACAGGGTGTCTCTGAGTCAGAATTGACTCCACAGCACATAACCACCACCGCCATACAAGCTAGTACAGTCCCTTCTGGCCCACTAGCTCAGGGACTGAATTCCAGGCCAAGGAGTGTTGAGGGGTCTGTTGCGAAGAGGAAACTGAAGCTCAAGTCTGGGAGGTCACTGGCACGGGGTCAGGCAAGGGGAGACTGAGCAAGGAGTTGGATGGGCCTTGTAGATCTTCCGGCGCCATCTACCAGCTGGAGCAGACCCAGAGGCTGGGGGAGGGGAGCAGAGGTGGCTGTGTGAGTGGAGGATGGTCGGAGACCTCATGTATGGGCCTGGCATTGGGGAGGGATGGACTAGGGGGCTCCTGGGTGGACAAGTAACCCCACCTGCCATAGTCACTCATTGAACTTTTAATTTTTTTTTTAATTAAGGTGAAAGCGGTCATTACTGAGACTTTTAGAATGCAGTTTCTGATTTACTGTGGACATGGCCAAAAAAAAATAAAATTCCCCAGTAGGTTTTGTCTTTGCTACCTTGCTTAACAAGGAGCTGTGGTAGTGTAGTGGCTATGAGTCAGGCTGCCAACTGCAAGGTCAGCAGTTCGAAACTACCAGCAGTTCCACGAGAGAAGGATGAGGTGTTCTGCTCCTGCAAAGATTTATAGCCTCGGGAACCCTGAATAGGGTCACTATGAGTCTGAGCCGACTCCATGGCACATTAACAACAACATTCAATCGATTGGGGACATTTTATGACCTTGTTTTATTTCCATTTGCTCAGATCAGCAGCACCCGTGGAAAGTAATATAAGCCACACATTATTTTCTGTAAACTTTATCATCTATACTCAGAAAATAAAGTGTACCTTATTTTTTGTGTTAAGCAAAAAGTGAAACTCACATAAATCTCACATACTAGAAAATGAACAACTCAATGGCTGTTAGTCCTTTTCCCTTACCTGTGTAGCCACATCTCTGTCTAGTTCCAGAACATTCTAATCACCTCAAGTAAACTCCCTATCCAATAGTAATCAGTCCCACCCTCAAGCCCTGTTGTTAAGTGCCGTCAAGTCAGTTCTGACCCATAGCGACCCTGTAAAGGGTTTAGCTGGTGAGATTGAACCACCAACCTTGTGGTTCAAACCAACATTGCAGTCCAGCGCATTAGCCCACTGCTCCACAACCACTAATGTACTTTGGGTTGCTACAGATTTGCCTGTTCTGGACATTTCATCGAAATGGAATCTACAATAGGTGGCTTTTTTTTTTTTTTCATTAATTAGATTTGCCAATCCTTGATCAATTTCATTAATCCTTTTAAAGAACCAACTTCTTGTTGATTCTTTGTATTGTTTTTCTCTTTTCTAATTCATTTATTTCTGCTCTAATCTTTTTTTTTTAAGCTTTTTATTGTGGATCGAGTGAAAGTTTACAGGGCATATATCATCAGTTTTACATTCAACAAATCATATATCTTGCTTCATTACAATGATTATAATCCCCTCCATGTACCATCGGTTAACAGTATTTCTCTCTATACTTTAGCTTTTTAAAAAACAAAACAAAACAAAAAACCACTCAGGCATCTATAATAATTTACATCTCCAAAGAGCACATTCTGCAAGTCTGCTCCTGGCCACCAGTTCTTAGTCCTTCTCTTCTTAGTTGATGAATCTAGAGTCCTCAGCCGCTCCCCCTCTCCATGCCCCCATCTCTGCCTCCATCTCTGGCGCTGCTGC